AACGCTACTACTTCTCAATTATTGATTGAGTTAGCGCTCATTTGAGGCTGAGGGCTACTCGATGAGTGACAAGTGGCTCTGGATGAGTGAATAGTTCGCTTCTACTACATACTGAATAAATTTCAGTGATCTTCCGTTTTTTGTTCTTCAATCGTCACGTTGGTGTGCTGTACTCTTGCCTGAGTATCTCGGCAGACGGCAGATGCGAAGAGCGTGCAATCTACGTGGTTTCCCGACATGAGTCAATCGATCATGCCGAACTGATCGTGCTGGAGAAGGTTGCTAAAGCGGTCTGTGTGGACCCTCATGTACTCTATCACACCGCCACTTTCGGTGAGTCCTTAACCTTTTTTCGGCCCGATGTAGCTTGGTGGGAGGGGCAGCTCGTAATATCGCGTCGGAGTTGAAGAAACGCCCAGTTTCAATACGAATCCTCAAAGGAGAAGAAGGACTCCGAGATGCCAAAGCAATTTTCCTTCTCTTCGGAGCTCGTCCCTCTCCGTAAATTTAGACCTAGAGGACTTTCTATAGACCCCTCCCATGAGCTACATTGCACCCTCTTTTTGTGAATTTTTTTAATCCATTTTTCTAGACTGAAAAAGGGCATTGCGAGAAAAGTGAAGAGCAATTTCAGCTAATTAGATTTTTAATAATAAATAATATGGGTGTGGCTTAGCGTACCACTAGGCAGTCGTTGAATGAAAGGGCACTGCGAGCGTGATGCATTGAAAATGGCAGCACCCGAGCAAATTGAGGTGGAAGGAGAATATATTGAAAATCGTCTAAAAACGAGGCAGTGCTCGATTGTTAGGGAGTAAGTTTGACATTGAATTGAAAGCAAGAGATAAGACACACCAAACACACGCGCACTTCAGCAGTCGATACCTACAGGCACCGGGTCAATTCCGCGAGGCTGAATCACATGACCCTCCCCCCCCACCCTCGGCGGCTAAGACGCCATCCTCTTGGAGACTTCGACACGACTCACCACCACTACCGCCACCATCCATCTTTGGAAAGGGATCCCCATAACGGACCTTCCTAACTAATCCAATCACCACTTTCGCAGCCAATGGCTTTTCTATTGCATGAGTAACCATCGACACACCTCCATACCCCACCTGCTTTTCCATGACAAGTGGTGTTCGCGGGAAGCACTGGTGCGAGAGTGTGTGTATGTTTAAGTTGCTTTTGGATTTTCGTCTACAATCTTCTTCTCCTTCTATAGTTTCTTCCTCTCCCCTTCTCACATCGCAATTATACACCTTTAATTTTGTTAAAATACAAGATTGGTGCCTCGTCATGAAGCTTCCATATGTTGTTCATTATATTATTGCGTTGCCTTAAGGTGTCACACAGACGTCACTTTGACAACTGTGACTGAAGATGCACTGCTCAGTAAATCGTATTATGCGGAGAAATTCCGGACTAAAACATTCAGCGTATGACTATTAGATTGTGCTGTTCGTGGGTCGATAGTGCGTGCGGTTTGGCGAAGTTGCTGGTTTGGCTCAATGCCAAATAAAAACTGGATATTGCGGTCAGCTGTTAAGGTCTACGGTAGATTACCTTTTCCATTCACGATGAAATTTTTATAATAGTCAATAAAAAGCTGTCGTAATTGAAGCTCATCAGCTCTTTAGTGTGCGCCATGCCTTCCACTTTCATTCACAACCGCTGACCTGTTTCAATGTGTGAGTAGTAAAGTAGTAAGTAGTCAAGAAGCTACCGTAACCTAGCAATACAACCATTTGCTAGGTCGTCCGAAATCAAAACCAGGTTCACATGAGAATCGCTGCTCAAGTCATTCCCTTCCTGGATGTGCATGGTGCCGCTCAAATGATCGAGTGGGAATGGAGGGCTATGAGGGCTTCGATCTACGCACCATGCATATAGCGACGGCGCCTACCGCCATTATACACCTTTCGCCTTCCTTCCATTACCATAGAAATAAGGCTCTCACGAATTTTTTTAGTAAAATCCGGCCACTAAAATAACAGCAGGATAAACAAAGGCTCATCAGGACTTTGTTCTCAAGTTTTTAGACTTTTTCTCACAGTTTCTTCCCCATCGAATCCCATCTTTTATTAGAAAGTTTGGCCATACGCCTCTCCGGCTTGAGCATTACTACAAGCGTATTTTCAGGAAATTATGAGAAGTCTCGTTCTTCTTTTACGGGCACTCTTTTCAACAGCTCGTCCCTCACACATGCCCCGCGCCTGAGTTGTGAGTGATGCAGTTAGCGACCTCTTCCCTGCAACAATTTTCCGTGCTGTGTCTGTGAGTGTGTCTCTCCATGCTACTTCTATGAAGACGCGGTGGATGAATGCAATTTGAAGGCACGCGAAGCGTTTGACGTCCGCTCTCGTTAGCATTCGCAGCGACGAAGGACGGCATCCGTATTAGGTCAGTCTCAATTCGTCTCGTCGTCGTTGTCGTCGTAAATCAGCAACACGAAGCAATGAAACCGACCGGATGAGCAGCATGTCGGGCGATCTGATTGGTGCGTCTTCGACCCGGCCAATTAGTGCTGCTGGGAGTCAGAATAAACGAAACAACATCTTACACGGGTTGACTTTAGGTGACATATTCGCATATTCCGCCAGTGAGGGTCCAATAAGCGATTTCTCAAGGGTGCTCACAGGAGGTTCTAACTGTAGGGTCCTACACGGTTTTAGGTGGGAACATACTCAGCAGTAGAAGGCGATCTCCGGCTACTTTACATGTATTTTACGATTTATGACCTTTTTTGGTTATACAAAATAGAAAAGGGTCGAGGCTTTGTGAAGTGTGTGAAGTGACGACCGATGGATTTGACGCCGATTCTTGAAAGAATGTAACCACATGGTATGGAAACAGGACACGATTTGTTTAGAAAGGATGTAACTGATGGTATGGAAAGGACGTTAATCAGAGGAGCAGCACCTGGGTCCGATAGATTCGGGATGAGATTGTCACTGGGCCAGGGAGTTTCTTTTGTTCGGATATGACGTAGGCTATATTATTGGGACCCCCGATGGAAGCAGTGACTGTTTATCCCGCCCCCCCCCCCCCCCCACTCGGGGAGTTGAGATGCTCTGTCTTTCGGTTCGAAAATTGAAGTAATGGCAATGGTAGTTTCGTGGGAGTTAGAGGCGTTATGGGTATCAGAAAGGAGCCCTCAGGTGGACGCAGAGGGTAAGCAGCGTCAAAGAAGCGGCTGCGGTACCGCAGTTGGATAAATACATCAAAATGGTCAATTATTACTGACCCAGGCCCTAAAACTTTTAATTAATACAGAATTCGAAACTATGGAGCGCCAAATTCCCAAATGTTAATCAGATAGAAGGTACGATTATTTTTTACCTTATTTGTAAAAATTAGTTAATACAGAGAGATTTCGTTTGTTAATTTCGACGAGAACGACTGCCGGAAAAGCATTTAGTTATGCAGGAGTTACAATTGTGGATTCTGAAGTTCTTTCCCTCTTTGCGCAGTGATTTTGGTACTAACCATGGGTGAGTTGGAGGGGGTGGTGGGACCACGACGCGGCGCGGCGCCGTGATAGCACTGACCCTAAGCCAAGAAGGAGGCTCAAATGTGCCAAATTTGGATTCACGAAATCACAATTCACAATGTTTCCAGCGTACCCTCTCCTTCCAGGTCCCATCGTAGTTGAGAGACCGCGTCGGCGTGTGGTCCCCCTCCCAACTCGCATCGCGATTTTTAAAAATAGGTACGCTCATTCTATAATAGGCTAATTACCTGACTAAGCATAACTTGCTGTCATCTATCAACATAATAGAGCCGGGGCTGGACGTGAACGGGTATTTGTTATTGCAGCGCCTCGTCAGCTGAAAATTGTGCATCTAATACCGGCTATAATTCTACTCTAGTACTACGATTGCTATAGTAACCAATGCAAAACAACCTCAAACAATAATAACTCGTTTATTCCTGGATCAATAAATATAATAAAATGATTATTCTATCACCCCAAGGCACAGTAACGTTGGAATGAAGAGATCACAGTGACAAAGGCACTCGAGAAAACCTTTCTAATGACATGGAACGTGAGAATTGGCATTGAAGAGAAAGGAAATTGGATTAGAAACGTAATCGATCGATTCGAGAAAGACATTTGAATGAAACGGAGTGAAAACGTGTCATGGGTCAGCTAGCCGAGCGGTTAGCGCGATAGCCAAGTCGCTGGTACAGGCAGAAAGTTCAGTTCGTTCAGATGAATGTGTCTACGATCATGCTCATCTGCGTCCACCTCTGTGTAGCACTGTTGACGTCGAATCGTCAGTAGCCGAATGGGAACATCTGAATGCTGATCAGATTATGGTTAGCTGTTTTATAATAATTTTTTTTTTTCGAAACCGATCAATTCCAATCAATAAATCACCTTATGAAAAACTTCGCTCAAATTACCCACCGTTTCTTTCTTACTTCTCGTGAATTATGATGCTATTATTTACTATGACGTTTTCAGAAGGACGAAGTTCAAGAAACTTTGACTCAAATTACATGACCTATAGGGCAGTAATTTCTATCTGCGAAGTTATCGAGGAGCCGCTAGCGTGGTTTCGCTCGTCGGATACCGTGTCATGTAAATTCTGAGCAGGCTTGACGGAATACAAGCACTCGTGGCAGTGTTGGAAGCTTGAGAAATTTGGGCGCTCCGAAGATACAGAGGCATTGCTGCGGAAGACGCATGTAAAACCACATCAAATACCTCTTTCTTATGGAACGGGACTAACCAGGGAGGAATGCTTTGAACTTCCCATAGAACCTTGAAGGAGACCTAGCCTTGAAGGCTGATACAAATATGGACACTAAAATTGCTACGTGAACTTCCTAAGAAAGTTATGAGCCTTCAAAGTTGGCAAAAAACGTTACTGAGGCGAGCTTACCTGGTGGAATCACAGTCGCCGTGGCTCTGCGCCAAAAACGAGTCTCATATTCGTAATCAGGGCACCCATTTACCCTTACAGAGCAACACATCATAAGCGCCCTTTAGCTACTTTTGAAGGCTCACAACTTTCTTGGAAAGTTCACGTAGCAGTTTTAGTGTCCATATTTGTAATCAGCGTCCAAGACTCTATCGATGTACCTAGGTCTCCTTTCAAAGTTCCATGGGAATTTGAAAACATCTCCTGGTAAGGTAAACAAGGAAGAAGCTCCAGAGTACTTGAGCATTTTTCATTTTCCCCGACATTCCTTTCCCTCCTTGGCTTATCTTAGGCATAGTCCTAGAGATGACCCGGTATCTTGTGATAGCGCCGAAATTTGAATCTATCTGACCATAAGTACACACGGGATGTTGAGTGCACGGCTCAACCATGAGGAAAGCCACGAATACCCATACGTAAACGATTTCATGATGATTAATTAGCTTTCTAATTTTTGGGAAATCTGTGAATCAATGTAAAAAACAAGTAGTGGAGGCAAAGGCCACTTGTTCAACACATGCAAAGAGCAGTAATAAATTGAAATTGAAATTACAATTTCGTCCAATGGGCAAAAATTGATCAAAAAAGAGGAAAGTTAGGTTAAACCCATGGATCTGCGGCAATTCAGAAAAAAATTGTGGGTTCGAGCAAGATATTTTGCAAGTTTAAGCAGTGATGGTTGAATGATGTGCTTTCCAGGAAAAATTTCCTGTTTCGGCTCAACTATTTAAATTTCATTATTTCTCTCATCGTTTATTATTGGCTGCATAGTGAATTATCCATCGTTCGCCTAATAATTGACACGCACTAATGTAGGGTGTTTGGCTTTTACATGAATACTTGGGAAAAAGGAATCTTTTGATAGACCGGGATCGGAATCGGAGAGGAAATGTGCTAGAAAGGCTTGGCTGAAGATTTTGAACAGCTGATTTTAACAAGTATGTTTAAAGGAATCTTGCGCGGAAAAATCATGATTCTATTTCAGCCATAAATCACTGGCTTGAGACTCATTATCCACGATAATAGTGAAAAGAACTGAAGTATTGCTTTCGTTTTGATTAGAAATTCGAAAACTCGAAAAGGCTGCTTCGAATTGCCCACGGACGTCTTTCACGAATGCTGGCGACGAAACTTGGTTCTTGGAGTGCATTCACTAGAAGCTCTTTCTGGCCTTCTGCTTCGTTGCATTCACATCTTACACTTCTACTCCATCCTATTCCATCGATTTGTCTCCACTCTCCGAAATCGCGCGCTTTAACCCGATTCTCTCATTGCGTCGCCTGGTACGTAGCCGGCCAAACGCCGTCTTCTTTCCATGCCTCGCCTGGCTCTGCCTCCTGGTCCTTCGATGGTCCATAACGTGTAGTTTTTGTACGTTTGTTTCTCTTCAGAAACCGAATCTTCATGCGTGAAACTTTGTGTGCTATTTCCAGTGATCACAACTGACATATTCATGTTAGGAAAGAGTGCAAGAATTTTCCGCGCAAGATTCCTTTAAAGGCAATGATCGGGGTGGTTGGAGGGCGGTGCGATTCTGAAGAAGTCTTCGGAAGTCATTGGTGACTTAGACCCCTCAGCGAATTAAAAAGTGTAGATGGGACCGTCCTTCGACGCTCCTTCGCCAGTGCCGTCCAATGACATCGTCATAACCTCGCCACCCTCCACCCATCGTGACCACTGCCTCTACAAATGGTTGCATACATTAGAGCGAATTTACTACCCTACATCTTTTGCTGCAAATTGTGCTGGATGTTGGAACCGCAGATCGGTGGTGTACGTTTCATGGAATACTGAAAATTCCGCGCAACACTGTAGGCGGGGTCACCGCGTATCGTACACTTCTTAACCTTCTGCCTTTAGGGCCGGGCCATTCATTTATTATTTACTACCCTTTTTAGGTTCATGGGCTAGGCATTCATGTACGTACTGATGAGAACAATCTTTGCATGGAAGTGAGAAAGTCTAAAAATTGACCCAGCGATCAGAAATTGAAGACCAATGCAAGGATGCAACCCCCCTCCTCCTCTCCCCAGCCAAAAACAGTGAATTTTATTATATGTCTGCTACACTTGATGAGGACTAGAATTCAGTGACGTTTTGAAAACATTGATTTTCGTCACTTCCCTGAGATTATCCCATAGATATCTCATTAGCGTCAGCTGTTTGGCGTCGTGGGAACTGCGGAGCCAGACGAGTGGGAAACCCGATCTCTCAGTACTATGCCAGCACTTAGCGACACTTAGACATTCAAGACGTACGGCTCTTACCAAACCATCTAATCGAGTGCCTTTCAAGGTTTCCCTCCCGTCAAGTTTTGCTCCGGCTCACATTATCCCCTAAATATAGCATGTGCTATGGAAGACATTACCGAAGTGGCGAAAGACGTCTGCGTTGCACTCGCGCCAAGCGCAGAATCGGATTTCGCCCTGAGGAAATCAAAATTCGAACTTCCCAGAATCGCATGATAGGAATTATTGGATTGAGTGGGAGCCGCTGGCTTGTATCTGAGCTGAATTTGAAGCGCGAAGCAGGGATTCCACGCCACCGATGGCCCCGCAGACGGGCAGAGGGCGAATAAACGAGAGGGACACATGGCGCAGGGCCGGGGGCGAAGGGCGGGAGCTCCAGGACGAAGCAAGTGGAGCAGGAGGCGTGAGTAGAGCGTCTGGGGACGAGGAAGGGTAGAAAAAGAAGAAAGGCAAGGAGGGGAAAGGGGCGCGGGGAAAGAGGAGAGCATGGTCCAGCCAGGGCGTGAAGGGGCGACGTCGAGTTCCGAGGCCGAAGGCGGCCAGGACCCGGATCAACGAGGCAAGGGTGCACGCGCCCTAAAGGACAGAAAAGGCAGACAGAACGGCAAGGGCGCGCCGTGAAGGGGGCACAGCGCACCTCGGGCGGCAGGCTCCCAAAACGGAAGGGTTCAAAAAAAGAGCGGGCCAAGGGACGGAGGGAGGCGATGACCAGGATGCGGGGGCGGTGACGGGGAGCCACCGTCCCCGAGACCCCGGACCCGGGCCGCCTGTGCGGCGGTGTGGCGCCAAGACCAGAACGACCAGAGGCAAAAAGGCGCGAGCGGGGGGTAGAGCCGAGTCGGGAGTGGAAAACTGGAACGTAGGAGTAGAGACGCAGGGACCTGAGGGGACACTAAGGGCAGGGAGGCGGTGTGAGGGCCAAAACGCTGCGGACCTAGGAGGGAAGGCAAACCCGGGCCACGTTCGGGTGGCGGGACAGAAGCTGCTAGGGGATGTGAGACAACGAGTGAACAAAGGGAAGCAAACAGGAAAAAACACAGGCGAAAAAAGGGTGACATCAGGGGAGACGGCGGGGGAGAAGGGCCGCCGCGCGCCAAGAGGGGACGCGCAGCGGCGGGAGGCCCGGATACCGAAAACACCGAACAGGGAGATGCGGAAGGCGGGCGCCCAGCAGCCGGGCCGGACAGGGGGGGCGCGGGCAGGGCGCGGTGGGCAAGAGCGGCAGGAGCGCACCGGCCGGCCAGACGAGGGAGAGGGAACGAAGAGGGGGGGGAGAGAGAGAAAAAAGGAGAAGGCGGGAGGCATGCCAAAGAACAGGCAATGCACAGGCGAGCTGTAATTACACTTTTTTTTTTTTTTATCTTAAATACAATTCCTGTATTATTAATACTATGTGGGGTAGAAATCCAATGCTTTATCTTTAACATATCGGATGATTATCGTCCAATCCAGTATATCGGTCACCCTTTATCATTACATTTGGAGTACAGCGCTTTATGTTAGTCTGTTAGTAGCTTTAGTAGACCTCTATAACCTTGCTTTTTCAGCGTTGATTGTCCAACTTTCGTCGGGTACGCTTTTTTCACCAAGGCTTTCCAGCGATCTCGATTCCATGCATCGTCTGCAGACAGGTCAGCAGCATTCATGTCGATCTTCACGTTGTCCATCCATCGTAATTTGGGTCTGCCTCTCGGGCGTGTACCAGTGAAGGTAATACTATCGGCTGATCTGGACACGGTGTCTGGAGGCCTTCGCAAAATGTGACCATACCAGCGTAGGCGAGAGGAGGCAAGGGAATTGACGATCGGTTGGACCTTGATCTTGTCTCGAATGTCTTCGTTCCGAATGTGGTCGAATCGCGTCCCAGACTCCATCGTAACATCTTCATCTCCATAGACCCATATGCTCTCGTTTCGTCAGCCGTCATCTGCTTCGTTTCCGCTCCATAGATGGCGACTGGTCTCACGACTGAGGTGTAAATTTTAGACTTCAGGCGGATCGGCATTTTCCTGTCACAGAGAACGCCAGTGACAGTCCTCCATTTGTTCCATGCAGCGTTTATTCTAGCAATTGTGTCGGCTTTACTGTCGGCGTCCGCGGCCAGTGTGGACCCTAGATACGGAAACTTGGTGGTCTTGGGTAGGGATGCTCCGTCTACTGTGATCGAAGACGCTGTGGCCGTTGTGCACATGTATTCTGTTTTGTTGATGTTGAGCCTGAGTCCATGGTCCTTTAGCTGTTTCATCCACTGATTGACACGTCTCTCTAATTTCATTTTCGACCGATCCATTAGCAGTATATCATCAGCGTACCCAAGCGTCATCGGAGGCTCTTTCGAATTTTCCTCGACGCATAATCCATACATAAAATGAAGAGCAATGGTGAGAGGGTGTTGGGACACCATGTGATCTCTTTTCTTTGTACTTGATCTGTAACCTACGCGACCTGCTAGATTTTGACCAGAGATCTGGCGGGCCAGTACGGTATATAAGTGTACAGTTTCATTGTAGTTCAGTTCAATGTCTTCTAATAAATATTCTACTGCTGCCCGTCTTCCGAAGGACACAACAACTGGCGATCAGGACAACGACTTCAAGGACCACGCCGCCTTCGCCGGGATGCAAGAAGACACTCACTTCAAGGACCTGCTGCAGATGATGGCCGCTCAACAGAAGCTCCTCGTCGACCTGCTCCAGAAGATGGCCACGCCCACAGTCGCGCCGCAAGAGACCGTATTCGACCGGGTCTCAAGGAGAATCGAGAAGTTCTCCTACGACGCTGATCAAGATGACTGCTTCGAGCTATGGTTCAATCGGCACAAGGACGTGTTCATGGTCGACTGTCAAGGGATGGACGAAGTGTTGAAGACACGCTTGCTCGTCTCTGCGCTGGACGCTACAAGTCACACCCGCTT